CTGCTCCCCTGCTCTTCAGGGGTGCAGCCCGTGTTGAAACCAGATGGAACACTTAGCGTATCACACAGAGATCCTGAGAACCATCATGGCGCGTGTGGTGAATCCCGATTAAGAATCACCTGCTTTAGACCCTGCCTGCCCCAGGGGAGGGCATCTATGGTCACAAGGGGCAAACTAGGAACAGAAAACCAGCTTTCTTGTGATGTTGCTGCTCGTTCCGGAGTTGATGATTGCCTGGTCTCTTTAGGAACAGTAAAAGAAACAATCTGAGTTTTCCACAAGACGGAGAAGAAAGGACACATCGAGCCAATGGATTGGACAGTGTTGAGGAGGACCTGAGCAGAGTGATGCAAATACTAAACCTGAAACACTTTACACTACAGAGGATAAAACTCAGGGAGCTTGACTGCCACTGTATCTGTTGTGCTGTCAGCACTACATGTTTTACCATTTCCTGGGAGAAGGCCTAGAAAGGGATTAAGGTGTCAGGCAACACTTGGTTTGAGCCAGATGCTGGAAGAGTCAATTTTTTCCCCCATCTCCTACATGCTAATTTCTTGCACATTTTTCTTTCCGTTCTATAAGCTCTGGCTTAGCTCCGGTTTCTCTAAATAATATTTCATCATCATCATGATCTGTTGCGTTCCCCCTATCAGAAATGGCGCACTGTCAAATGCTTCTATTGCAAAATTAGTTCCTCACCTGAGGTATTACGACCTATCCACCCTCCCGTGATGGCTGCAACCCGATTTAGGAAGAAAAACCCAGGCAAGTTCCTCTCTCAACTGCTTTTTGGCCCAATCAGCTGCACGGAACTCTGGGTACAGAAGCCACCAGTTACAACAGACGACACTGGTACACGCCTAGAGACTTCACCAAGGTATTTGTACGTGCCTGGTAGGAGCAATCTGTCCTGCAGTGAAGACACACAACACTGACGTAAGGTGGTGACAGTTGTAGGAGCTGTCACGTTAGTTTAGGAGCCTCTGCCCCCGAAGGAACATGCTGTGATCCTACGGGAAAAGCAGAGTAAGGCAAATGCATGTCCTGCCGCCCTACCAGTTCAGCCGTTCCCTGATAGGAATCATCTCTGCTTCGCAGACGCTACCGAACTGAAAGGAGAACGGAGCAGACGTTCCCAGGTTTCCTGCAGTTACTGTAACGAATCCAGTAAAGCTGAAATGTGTGAGTTACGACAGGAACATTCACAAAAGCCCACGGAAACCAGGACATCTGCAGGGCCTCCAAGAGCAATCTCCAATGACTGCGGTCTCAGTGGGCGTGGATGCAGGTTCAGCATGAAAACTTAGATGTGACCCTTAATCCAGAGCTGTCCCTGGCTAGGGGGGCACAGAAAGGAGGCCATGCAGTTCCACATGAACCCCCTCTGGCCAAGAGCAATTCTGGCTTAGCATAGCTCTGCCGGGACAGCTGATGGCATGAACCAGAAAACGCGATGACCAGTGGCTGCCTAGGAAGGGGGTGTCAGGTGGCAGCGTGGGTTACAGTCAGTGCTTCCAGACAACACCCTCTAGGCTGGGGCTGTTGTTGTCCTGAGACAACAGGCAGGAAGACAAGACCACCAGGATTTTGTTCTGGGAGACTTCGTTCATCCTGGAAGAGCAATCCCCCAGGGTAGGGTGAACTGCCTCTCGCCTCCTCCCAGTACACAGGTAAGCAGAGACACAGTAAGCAGCCCTCCATCTCCCCAGTCCGGAAGCCTCCGGCAAAATATCTTCCTCCTCTAATACTTTAAGTCCAGGTTTCTACAGGTGTTCTTTGGGAGCATAACAAGGTACAGTCACAGCCATCCGACTACAAGCTCGTGTAGATTTAAAATGCTAAATCATAATGGAAATACTTAATACGTTACTGTGGTCTAAGTTTTGTCCAAGTGGCTCGTTATTCCCACTTGAGAAGAGGGGCGCTTCGTGTCAAAATCGGAGCCTGCCAGACCAGACTTCCTTCCCTGGTAGCAAGAAACGGGTAAGATGTTCTGAAGAGCCATTAAGGTTTCCGTCTGGTTGAAACGGGTGTGTTATGTGTAATAAGCGGTATGCCCCAGCGTGGTGACTGCAGTGACGCTGAGTTACCGTAACCAGTCCCCCAAAACGACACGTTTGCCAGCTTAAGTAAGCAACAGGCAGCTGTCAAGGACCACTGGGGCTGAGGTTTCTGTACTAAAGCTATCAGGAGAGCCATGGCATGGCAGTGTGTGCTGGGAAGACCTTTACCCTTCAAGAATTCAAAGTTCTCAAACAGCTCTTCCTCCAAGTTACTGCCTGCGAGTAGAGGCTTAAGGGTACGTAGCTGATGTCACAACTAAGTGAGGGTTCCAAATTACACTGCTGCTTACTGGAATGCCTAGTTTCCTTTTCATAGCAAGAAGAGCTGTTGATCGTTAGCCAGCTTTAGGAAAAAATCCTAGCAGCTCTTCAGATGCAGAAGCCACCACAACTCAGTCATAAACCATTGGTTGCCCTGGTTCCAGCGGCAGACTCACCCCTGAGGTGAAGAGCTGCAGAGACACCCACTCCTTGGACGGCTCCTCTCTGGCAGCAGCTGTCCCTAGTCGGGCACCTCCAACACAGAAGGTTGCTGAGGCCAAGCTGCTGCTGCAGCGACCTCTGACACTGCACCCATTGCGGGGCGTGAACGGGGCTTGTGGGGTTTCTAGAGCAGTGCCAGGAGCCACAGAGCTGCTAGATACGACGGCGAGGGAGAGTGCCTTCCCTACTGCCCACGGGGAGCGAAGGCTGTGCGCGAGTGACCCACAGGTGCTTACGGTCTCTTTGAAATCAAGGCATGATCAGGCAAGGCTTTGCTGTGAGAGGGGTTGGCTGGGCTGTGCTGCAGACAACAGGCAGCCCGCCGTCACCTGAAGGAAAGCTCTGTGGGCTTGCCAAAGAGCTACAGCGTCAGGTGGTAACTGGCAGTTAGTGGGAAAGGTGAGGTCCTGAGGAAACGCTAAAACCTGAATCTGTGGTACCGTAAAGCTGCTGGTATGATCTGGGAGTCTCGGTGATGCAGAGTTTTTTTGAGGGTTTTTTGGGTTTGTTTCTCATTTTCCCCAAAGAGCGATTGTGATGTGGTGCTTTGAAGCGAAGGAATAGCAGTTGGCATAGTGTGACTGGATAAGCAGCTGTGGATCAGGAGAAATCTCTTACATCACTCCTACGACTGTGTGGGCAGCTTCTTTCCTTGTCTGCCTGTGCCCCTCTTTCAACTGCTGTCAACCTGTCTCTGCTGTGCAGACCACAGCACCTTTTCTTCTTCGCTCGCACACCTTCAGAGTTACGTGCCGAAGGCAGATGCACTCGGGCTAGTGCCCAGGTTCAGCTTAGAGCCTGACAGCGGGTGCTGGTGTTTCTGTACGGCCTTGAAAGGCCGCTGTTAGTTACGGGTGAGAAACCGGGTTATTCCCAGAGCCGCTGTGATCTGTGACCGGGATGTGCTGCTCTACGACCATGGGCAATGATGCTGTTAGCCTGCAGGTCTCAGGTAAGGCTTTTTTTCTTTCCATTAGATTTCCTAAGTAAAATTAAAAAACGCAGCCTTTTGCAGTCTGACACAGTAAATCGGAGTAAAAATACAGGATTATGGTCCAAACCTTCCAAAGCCTAGCCGTATCCTCTAAGGTGATTCTTGTACCTGATCTGTTTCATATTTCTGTTATCTCAAGACCTTTCCATAAAAGGAGAGAAGTATCGGAGTCATGGTGCCTTAACAAGCGAGCCTCTGGAAAAGTAACTGTGTTTGAGTCAAGTAGATCATTTTATGATGGTCTCGGCTCTTTCTTTGTGTTTTCTGCAAACGTTGCAGTAATTACCCTTCATTAGTCGAAACTATTAATCTGAGACTTGATGACTATACATTTTCTTTAGAAAAAAGGCCTCAAACTGTCAGTTTTAAGGGTGAGTAATTGCGAGCTGTCACTCCCTCAGCCACAGCAGTACTGCGGATCAGAGGCTGGTTGGTGGTTGGTTTTCTGCCGTCAGGAGCAAACACAGGTATTTTCAATGCATCCTCCCCTGGGCAGCATTCTTACCAGCTGCCTTCATAAAGATTCAGCTGCAATCAAAAGGCTTCCTGCCATGTCATTTACGTCAGATGAACATTATTGCGTACGAGGAGTTCTCATGTTCCACAAACGACAGCTATTTTCACCGTGACGTGAGGCGGTTTCCTGCGAGAGCCGGTAAGTTCATGAATTGCTGGCACTGTTCTGTTACGCTGCATTAAGTAGTCCTGCCTGCGCTGAGGCTGCGTTTATGCGGTTAAGGTTAAGGTTGCCCCAGACCCTCGTGTTCTGCTTCTGCGTGGGCACATCCAAGTTCTGTGATGCCAGGGCAGTGTCAGCTCAGACTCGGATCTGTTGAGGTTTCTTAAAAAAAAGCATTTCTCTGCCTAGTTTTCCAGCTTGGTTCAAGCTGGGTGCACAATCCACAATCATCAGTGGGAACCTTGAAGAATTTGAATGTTTTTCTCCCTAATTTTTCTTGTCTGGCCTTGTTTTAGAGGGTCTTTAACAACCTGGGGCTGTGGAACACAGAAACAGAGTGGGAGCAGGTGCTGTATCTTCCTTCACGGGAAAGACTGAGCAGCATCTACCAGCCTCTCCCTCTGGGAGAGGTTTCAGGCCTGGATTCTGGTGTGCGACTGTCTTCCCTCTGGCCTGAAGCTCAGGTAAGGGCAAACTACCGTGGTAACTGCACGTCCTTCAACTTCTGCTAAGATCTGGGGGTGGCTTGGTTGTGCAGCTCCAGTGGCTGTAACAACCCGAGACGCTTAGCTTGCCAGCTTCACCAAGCCGCTGGTGCCCTGGGCTGTGCTTGGGGTGGTTACTGACCGTTAACACCATCCCTCAGGCTTCCCACGTTCCCCTTCGGACACAGTATCTTAGAGGAATCAGTTACAGTCATACCAGAGATGGCTCCTGTCTTCCTAAGCTCTTTGAAGGAAGAGAAACAAATGGTAAAATAATAATTAAAGGAGGTCAGTTTTATGAAACAACAAGGAGTTTTATTAAGATATTTTATTATGTGTCTCTGTAAGGAATAGACCAACAACCATATAAAAGCTTACAAAGATGGTTAACCTTCAACACTATAGATGTGTTAACGTGACAGAAGTTGTTCACAATTTGGCACCTCTATTGACTTGGACAGAGTGAGGGGAGAAGTCTCCACTATGACATGCCAATGGCGATCCGCGACAGGAGACATTTACGACTGCGTTAAATCCTTTGCCTTTTTTTTTTTCAGCAAGTCAATAACCCTGACTTGCAGAGTTAGGAGTGAAAAATACATTAGCACCATCATATTAGTCTTTTACACTTCCCTAATTTTAGTGGTCTTGACCAGCAATGACAGGAAAGTAGAGAAGCACCTTTGATAACAGAATACAATCCAACAAGAAAATCGGGTGACTGCTGGCATGGAGGAGTTACTGGACGGCGTGAACCTGTACTTCCACAGCGAATCAGTACAGACAGGCGATTTTGTACCACATGCTTCCACCGCACCGACCAAGCGGTCCAGTGTGTTTTGCTTGGTTCCTTTGACTGATTTTTGGTTTGACTCATCAGACACATCCCAGTTTCTGTCCATGTTGAGGTAGTTGAAACAGGGAGGTCTTCCTAGCTTTACGGACTGCACCTCGGGAAGAAGGGTAAACTTTGGTACTGGGAGCAATCAGTGCTTTGTAAATTGGCTAACATTCAACTCATTGGACACAGTGTTGTTTTATTAAGTGTTGAAGTTGTATTATAGCACCAAGGAGACATGTTCTGAAGATGAAATTTGGTAAAAAAAAAATAGAGAAAAAAGCATTTTTACTGTACTTCGTGTAATAGCGAAAAATTAACCCTTGATATCAAATTGATTTCTCCCCCAGAAATTTTGTTAATAAATAACTGGGATACAGATGGACCCTGTACTAGCTGACGAGGCTAAAACAAAGGAGCACAGTTGGAGTGTGAATCTGTTTGCTGGGGTTTCAGAAAGAGCAGGATCTTTGACTTATAAGAAGCAGACCGGGCCAACGTCCACGCCAAATTCCTGATCAGGACCACCGATATCTATGGGTGCGATATCGACCACAGGTAACCGCATTGTCTTGCGCGTTCTGTATTCAAAGACCGTTTTACCCCATTCGCCGGTGTGTTTCTGTCAAGTTAAAGGGGAAAGAAAACAAAACCCCACGTTAGAGAAGTCAGCTCTGGGCTACGCGAAAGTTATCCTGCAGTCGACTGGATTTTGTACTTTATCTTTCCGTATCGATGTGTCTCTCTCTGCCCCGCGAAACGCGGCTGCAGGCCCTGCGGAAATGAACATGTAGGTTGACGTTCTTCCTTTCTGGACCTTTTGAAGAAGGTCTTGTGGGGTTGTAGAGCTCGCAGCTCAGAAGGGATGGGATCCTGATGGACAGGAGGGTACTCTGGAGCGGTGCCAGCACCCTGACGGACGCAGGACTGAGATGTGCTCTCCGTGCCGGAAGATGGTAGAACTGACTATTCTGCTTGGGAAGCAGCTTTGGCCTCAGGAAAATGTGACAGCAGCAATGAGGGAGCTCTTGGTGGTCGTGTTAAAGAAAGGGCCACAAAGTGGCAAAGCAGCTGTGTTCATGCAGCCTTCAAGAGCAGGTTGGCCATTTACTCAGTGTTCGCTGTGTTTTTGGGACCTCAAACTGCGGGTGCTGTTATGGTGTTTTGTGTTTGCTACTGAGGAGGCTGCAGATGCTCGTGGAATGTCACTGCTCCTCGGCAGTGCTTCCTACTGCAGCAAGCAGGGCACAGTAAAGCCATGCTGCATCTGCGATGTGATGGGGAGTGCCCCTTCCCGTAATCGTAGCCCGTGGCTTGAAGCAGCTAGCCTTGATTTTTTGTGTGACTGAGTCCTATTACTCTTAGTTTTAGAGATGACATGGGATGGATCAAAACTTGGTCACTGTGACATCACTGACTGACTTTAACGCAAGGAGAGACCTGTAGAGCACAGATTGAAGGGGGAGTGCGCCTCACTTCCTACAGCTGTACAGGAGTGAGGCTTCTGGTGTACAGAACCTACTTTGCCCCAGCGAGGTGTAACTCTGTCCCTTCCTTACCTAGGTCATGCAAAGCGTGCTCTTCCTGTGCTATGGGTCTAGTGCTGTAGAGGGAATGAGTTGTTAAACTACCACACTAAAGTCTTGAGTACTTACAGTACAGCCGTCTTCCAGAACAGCGTATGTGAATTTGCTGTTTCCTTCAGCCTTGATCTCACTTTCCATAGAGCTCATCAGTTTCAGGGCTTTTTTAACATTCCCACTGGCTTGATCCATGTAGGCAATGCTGTTCTTGCAGTGGTAGGTGATGTTCTGGGAGGCACGGCTGGAGAGGATGCGGAGGAAGGCCAGCTGAACTTCCGAGACATCCTCTGGAAGCTCAGGATCTCCGTAGCTGAACTGTAGAGTACAACACATAAGCAACAGTTTTTCTTCAGTTGTGTCGAGGGACAGTCCATACAGTGGTTGTTTCACCCACTGAGTGTGTAGCTGAGCTTTATTACTATTTTTTAGTGTGTTGTGAGGCGTGCGAGTACAGTATTTGTACCACATTTGGGCTGTGAGCTGGGGGTAATTTCTTACCTGGAAGCCTCCATTCATAGATTCTCCAAACCAAACGTGTTTCATTGCACTGCTTTCGCTGCTCCACCAGTTCTTCCTTGGCACGGTGCCGGGGTTAGCGCTGAGGCACGTCTCACCGGTTTCCATATTACAGTATACTTTAATAGCATCCATCCTGCAGCCTTGGTTAGGATCAATCCAGTACTCTCCTAGAGGTTAGAATGAATATATTTGGGCTTTAATGTATTTGGAGAACAATCTCTGTGTGATGGTGAAGCTCATTTCTATGCCAGATTCTTGAGCCAAATCAGGAAACATGTTAATTTTGACAGAAAAATGCCACAGAAAATAACATTATATAAAAATATATTGAGTTCCTGTGAATGCTGTAAGATGACTGACATTTGAAATAAATACAGAACTTTTCAGGGGGTATTTTTCCCTAAAATTCTATAAACAAACACCCACTTCTAAGCATGTAAGGAGTGGAGTTGAAGTCAGTGTATGTGGTGTGTAAATGCACAGTAAATTAAAGTTTAAAATCATTAACATCTATTATCTTTGCAATGACATTTGTATAAAAAAGAAGACATTTTCATAGCATTTAAATACCCACAGGCAATCGCCTTCAGGAGGATAAATCAAGATCTACCAGCACTGGTGAAAACAAAAACCTGACATACCGCTCTTGAGCTCGGGATGGCAGAACTTCAGGTCTCTGCAGTTACGAGCTGGGTTCTTCCGCGACCCATCGGGACTAATGATGTTCTCAATCTGGTTGTTAATTGATTTCATTGAAGATATGATGTCACCCAGATTGATATCATTTTCTTTTGGCTCATCACGATATTCATAGCCATAGCCCACTGGACCCTTTTCACCAGCACCCAAGGAAGCTGCACCACCACAACATGGACCAGGAGGACCAGAAGGACCAGGAAGACCAGGCTGGCCTGGTGGACCCTAAAGAAATAGTGAACATAGCGCTGAGTGGAGATCACTAAGGTAAAACTAAAAGTCGGTGCGGGCTCTCATCTTGAAAAATGGGAATTCTCACGTAAACACTGAATTCACTGATTCATCAAATAATGGCACTTGCTATCTATGATCATCTGCTAGACTTTCCAGGCCTTTGTTTTCCTAAAACTGGAATTTTCTTTTTCAAATTTTGTCAAGCTGTGGCTGTCCTCTTTCTGTCTGGGCTTGGAGAAGGAACTCTTTCCACCAAAACACAGAGAAAAACCACTTCTTGGCTTTAGGAGTGACTCTGCCGATGGCCTGCGCAGCACTGGCCTCTCTGCAGGAGCCCAGGACAGCCACTGCATGGCTTCCAAGGCCCAGCGGGAGTTGGTGCTCTGAACTGAACAGGAGACCCTGCCCCGCTCCCCTTGTACACAGAAAAATCAACGATTATGCGAGGCGAACGCTGCCCAGTGCATCAACAGCTACGCTGAACTGCAAACGACGTGTATTTGTCTGGCTTCAGCCTTGACAGCTGGATACCTCCTACCACACACCCTCTCTCTGAAGTACAGAAGAGCACCCTGTGCTTTACAAAGCATCCCTGAAGGTGACTCTGCTTGAGCGGGCACAGTTTACTTACTGCGGGGCCACTTTCACCTCTGTTCCCACGGGGGCCGGGAGGACCAATTGGACCTGGATAACCACTTGTACCATCTTTTCCAGGTGGCCCAGCTGGTCCTGGGGGACCCTAGAACAACGAACACAAATAATAGAATGCAGAAATACTTAGTGAGAGATTCCAACGTTTCTGTACGATTTATCAGGTGTCTTTCTGCAGCCGTTGCCTGTTAAGGTGGCCAACTAATTCTTTTTTTAACCAAACGGTCTGCATCATCTTTCCGGTTATGCTGAGTAAGGAGCTTTTCTTACCCTTGCACCTGAAGCTCCCGGACTTCCGATTGCACCTTGTGGACCCAGGGGACCCTGTGAAGAAAAGATACATCGTAATAGCTTGTACCTAGCTGGGTGTACCTTGAACAGAGACACTGAAATATCTTTAGGATGATATGAAATATATCCTTACAAAAAGCCTGTGTCAGGTAAGTGAAAGAATAGTTGCATTCCAGAAAAAAAATTATCTGATGTTCTCTACATCAAAAAATGCAAGTGATGCAATGATGCAATAATGCAAGAAAGCCAAATGACAGCATCGAGCTTTGGCTGAAATCTTGTGTTGATAAGATGACATGGCAATAGGCTAAAATGCTGCATATTACTGTAAGATCCCGTTACCAGAAAAGTCATTTAAATAATTTGAGGGACACTCATGTTTTCAAATGTGCTAAAATATTTGCTGCGTGCACACAGCAGAAAGACCCAAGTCATGTGTTGAAAAATGATTCATCATCTCCCTGTCAGCGTAAATGAGGATTTATCAGACTTATTTTTCTCGTGCTGTAAGTGAGAGAAGGGGTTATAGAATGCTGTTAAAGAGGTTGGTATTCCATCGGTTTGCCATCGCTGGTAGATTAACTACAGGTGAGTTTTGGTTCCTTCCTCCTCACTTGTATTGGGAGTGCTGTTAATGGTTCGTTTCAGTACAAATCCCTCTTAGAAATGTTATTTCTTTTAAATACCAAGGGTGTGCCTGCCTATTACCCTTCTACTCTTTCAGCTGTTCAGAACTGTTCCAAACGGCAATGCATGTTTACAGTCAGCAGTTGACAAAGTTCACAGTCTCATGCCCATTTGCTCCTAATATTAATTACGGCAAAAGATGCCAGAGAGAAGAGAGGTCTTTGGACTCTGAGTAGCTTTTTCATGGATTCAGAAATCTGTCTACCATAGATTTCTAATACACAAATATTTCAGCCCCTATTTCTATCTTTTCCAATTTAATCAGGAATAGCCTGTATAAATCAACGGAAAAAGTGTTTGTTCCAGGCAGAGGCAGACATGTAGCTGAAAGGGATTTAGTAAACCCAGCTTTACCTTCTAGCTGCTTCTTAATTGTTCATCGACACTTATTTCAGGTTGAAGAGGGAATCTGGACTTCTGAACACGTTTGCCATTCAAATTACAAAGGTTATTGCTACTTTTTATTTTTCCTCAGTAAATTAGTTGAGGGTAACTAGTTATCTGGAACCAAACCACAGGAACTAAGAACAGCTGTAATTCCCAATCCAATGTAAAATACTCACAGGAGGGCCAGGGAGACCAGGGGTACCGGGAAATCCTCTGTGACCCTTTATGCCGTTGCTGCCTCGTTCACCGGTTTCACCTTTATCACCGCGAGGACCTTGAGGACCCTTTAGAAGCAGATTTGCAATAGAAGTGACACATAGAGAAATGAGAAAAATTCCCAAATAACAGGAAATACTGAATGTATGATACCACAAATGCTTTAAATATGACTTACAGCAGGGCCACGAGCACCAGCAGGACCAGTAGAGCCAGGAGGGCCAGGTGGACCCTGTAACACAGTAAGAATAAGTTGGTGTGGATCACTGGGAATAGACAGGACTGCCTTTTTCCTTCCAGATAAGCAGTATGTTCAAAGCCAGCAGCTGTTTGGAAACAAGGGGAAGCTCCACACACTATAGGATCAGCAAGAATTTTGGCCAGTTCCTCTTTCTACTGACGTAAGTCTTACTCAGCTGCTTGGAGGCACTGATACATACCACATGCACTAGACCCCTTCTTCATTCTGTGAGGTGCTCAGCACTCAAGATGTGCTGGTGTCAGCACTCCTCGGAAATACCTTGGAGACTTCCAAAGTTACTCCCTTAGTTTAAATAAATAACATGGCTTGTGCAGCATGAGCAGCAGATGAGATGGAAATTAAGCCAGGGCCTGGTGGGATGAGGTGCCTTTTGGCATCCCAATGAGTATGTGGATTTTGAACTTAAATCTATGTACAGCTATCAGGAACATAAACTGTGATGTCTTTCCCTTGAAATTCTTATAGAAGATGTCCTCAACACGACGAAACGATGACAGTAACAAACGTACTACTCTTCCACTTTATAACAGCATGCAACGGACTGCGTAGGAAAGGTATGTAAATAAGAAGGAAGCTATTAACTTTGGTCTTACCTGAAATCCTCTTTCACCAGCTTTTCCGGGTGCACCACTGGTACCTGCAGGTCCAGGGTGGCCAGGAGGTCCCGGAGGGCCAGGAGAGCCATTTTCACCACGGTCACCCTGCAGGTAGTAACAGTTGACACAATTATAAATTAAGATTTTTGCAGAACTACAGTGTAAGGAGCATATTCAGTGAAGCATAAGGGGCTCAAGGAACAAGATACGTAGCACAGAAGTATGTATATTGTCATCTCTACATCACATTGATTTGCCAATCTAAAGATACTAGTGACTCCTTACTTTGCCTCCTGGGGATCCGTCACGTCCAGGCAAGCCATCTGAGCCAGGGTTACCCTGGGAAAAAAGAGCGGTACAGTTTGTTCCTGTACTGGATGATAGAGAGACAGCTTGTTTTCCAGTAAGCTTACATAATGCTCATCAAAGACAGACAGAGTTTTTAAGAAGGAAGAGTTCCTGAAGGTGGAGCGGCCCATAAAAGGTCTGCAAGCCCTGCAGTATTTGGTGTGCGTAGAGGCAGCGCAGTCTCCTGTTCAGTTCCGAGTGAGACAGAGATGTGGTCCACAGGTAGTAAAAGGTATAGCAGAGAGAGCAGGCTACACTCCCTTAGGTGAGAGCGTCATCTGCCCAGGCCCCTGGGCATCAGGTGCTTGAGGGAGGCTGTATGAAGCATATTTAGTCCCAGCATCTCCCGTTCGTAACTCACAAGCTAGCAGGAAGGTCTAACACATCAACTCACGTCTCTGCCGGGCTCTCCAGGTAAGCCTCTCTGTCCAATAGGACCTTGTGGACCAGGAGCACCACGTTCTCCTGGGACACCGTTGGTGCCTGGTTTCCCATCTTCACCCTGAACAAGAAGGGAAAGGATTTTGTTGCAGGTAATGTACTTATGAAATGCCCTCATATTACAGACATCTTTAATTAAATACAATTTGATTATGAAGGAGACCTAATAGCACGAAGGGCCAATGTGACTTTGGTGATTGTGAATACCCAAAATAAGAAAAATAGACTTGGCCAAACTGGTTTCTTTTCATTGCCGGTAATGCTCATGCAAGGCCACGGAACCCAAGAACATTCCTCACTGCTTCACCAACTAAGAAATAATAAGTGGGTATCTCTCTTCTTATGTGCCCAAAACCAGAGCGAAAGCAGTTAACAAAAACAATGCCTGTCTGTCACTGTCTTAGTGACGAAATACAAACCAAGCCTCACCCCACCTTTTCTGGAGGGAGGTGAAAGTATTTTTCTGTTTGGGTCATAATATTTAAGCAAGAAACATACTGAGAATTAAGCAAAGATGAACAACTTGCAGTAGGTGAAACTGTGCCTTAGCTCTTGTGCCAGGGAGAGCGAATAGCCCACTGGCCACCATAAGGGGGTGGAGCTGGTCATATACTTCTGTATACCATGTCAGAAACCTGATCCAGGGCTCTTGAGACTCAAGATCACCTCACATCCCACAGCTGGTGGCTACCACACATTTTAAAGCCTGATCTTAGGCATATAAACAAAGATAACTGTAAATTCTGTAGTCTCTGGACTAAAAATACAACACATGCATTACTTCTTGAAAACAAAGCTATGTTTAGCAGCTGGATTAGAGTGGCTGCGTTAGCTCTGAGGCTGTTGCTACAGTGACTGCA